GCTGCCGCTGCCGCGCGCAGGCCGTGGACTGCAGCGGGCAGCGCCTGGCCGCCGTGCCGCCCGAGCTGCCGCTGGACACGGGCAACCTGAGCCTGGCGCACAACCGCATCGCCCGCATCCCGCCGGGCTACCTGGCGTGCTACGGCGAGCTGCGCGTGCTCGACCTGCGCAACAACTCGCTGGCCGAGCTGCCCGCCGGCCTCTTCGCCGCCGCCGGCCGCCTGGCGCAGCTCGACCTCAGCTACAACAACTTCAGCCACGTGGCGGCCGACGCGTTCGCGGAGGCGCGCGCGCTGCGGCGCCTCGACCTCAGCCACAACCCGGGGCTGCGCCGCGTGCACCCGCACGCCTTCCGCGGCCTGGCCCAGCTGCGCGACCTGGACCTCAGCCACGGCGCCCTGGGCGCCCTCAGCCTCGAGGCGCTCGAGGCCCTGCCGGCCTTGGTGAGCCTGCAGATCGGCGGCAACCCCTGGGTGTGCGGCTGCACCATGGAGCCCCTCCTCAAGTGGCTGCGGAGCCGCGTCCAGCGCTGCAGCTCGGGTAGGCGCCTGCGCCCACCGCCGCGGCCGGGAGGGACGTGGGCTCGGTGGCGGAGCGGCCTCGGCCTCGCCAAGGTGGTGCTGGGGAGGCGATGGAGGGACCTCAGTGCCTCCAGGCTGGGGAGGGACGTGGTGTGGGACAGAGGAGCAACTTCAGTGTCTCCAGGCTGGGGAGGGACGCAATGGAGGTGGTGGAGGGACCTCCGTGTCTCCAGGCTGGGGAGGGATGGAGGTGGCAGAGGGACCTCAGTGTCCCCAGGCTGGGAAGGGATGCAGTAGAGGTTCTGGAGGGACCTCCATGTCTCTAAGCTGGGAAGGGACAAGGTGTGGGACAAGGAGACGGCAGAGGGACCTCAGTGTCTCCAGGGAGGGATGCAGTGGAGGTGATGTAAGGACCTCAGTGTCTCTAGGCCAGGAAGGGACGCGATGTGGGATCAGAGCGGTGGCAGAGGGACCCCAGTGCATTCTCTCCAGGAGGGGATGTGGCATCGGTCGGAGAGGTGGTGGAGGGATGCTGGTGTCTCCAGCTTGGGGAGGAGGATGGTAGGGGTGGGAGAAGTTGTGGGGGGACCTCAGTGTCTCCAGCACTGGGAGGAGGATGGTAGGGGTGGGAGAGGTTGTGGGGGGACCCTGTGCCACTCCGCGGACCCTAAACGCCACTTCTGCGCGGGGTCCCCTCTCCCTCCTCGCAGACTCCCAGGTGGCTGAGTGCCGGGCCCCCCCCGAAGTGGCGGGCGCCCCTCTCTTCTCCCTCACGGAAGAGAGCTTCAAGGCCTGCCACCTCACGCTGACGCTGGACGACTACCTCTTCATCGCCTTCGTGGGCTTCGTGGTATCCATCGCCTCGGTGGCCACCAACTTCTTGCTGGGCATCACAGCCAACTGCTGCCACCGCTGGAGCAAAGCCAGCGAGGACGAGGAGATCTAGGTAGGGCGCGCGGCGCTGCCCGTCTCCAGCCGCACCGCCTGCCGCCGGGACGCGGCCCTCCGCTTCCCTCCCCTCCTCTTCCTCCAGCCCTTCCCCTCCGAAAGCCAAACCCTTTTGCCTGGGGTAGCCAAGAACAACCCAACTCTCGCCCCAAGAGCGGCGCCGGCCTGGGCTGTTCCGCCCGAGGGGCTCCATGGACGGCCGTGTCGGGAGCCCTCGCCCTCCTCTCCGGAGCTTTGGTGCCGCTTTGGGACCAAAGCAGGTGCCAGATGTGCCAGGGACGCCCGGGGCGCCTGGGTGAAGCCCGGCAGCCCCGTTTGCAGATGGCGGAGAACAAGGAGACGGAAAACATCGGCAAAATAAGCAAGGAAGAGCAACGGCGGCGGCGCTGCGTGCCCCGGCCGGCCTCCCGCCCCGCGCGCGGCCCCGTCCCCGCGGCCGCTCCGGCAGCTCATCCACCAGGCGCCTTCCGCACGCGGCTCCCTCCTCGCCCGGCCCAGCCCGGCCTTCCTCCCGGCGGCCACACGCGCGCCGAGCTGCTCCCGGGCTCGGCGCTGCCTGGGCCCAGGGAGCAGGGCCAGGACGGGGCTTTGGGTGGCGTGGACGTCGCTCCTGAGAGGGGAAATTTCCCTCAAATTGCTTTGGTTTTGGGTTTTTTTTTTTGGGGGGGGGTCAACCTGCGTTTCTGGTGTGTCCAAGTAGAGTGTCTATGTGTGTGGTCCAAAATCCAGCCAAATGAACAAAAAAAAACCCACCCCAATGAGGCAGAAAACGGGAAAAGAGAGGCCACCCGCACCACCCTGCCACCCCCATGAGGACGGGGCCGCAGGAGACGGTGCCCACAGCAGGGGCTCCTGGGCACCACGGCCCCGCAGAGCCCCGCAGGGACGCGGCCTGGCCGGGGCTCGCGGGCTGCCCGCGGCGTCGCGGGCTGCTGCCTCCTCCACCTCCTCCTCCTTTTGGTTTTTTTACCTTATTTTTTACCTTATTTTTCCCTTGTTTCTCTCAGTTTTCCTTTCCTTTCCTTTCCTTTCCTTTCCTTTCCTTTCCTTTCCTTTCCTTTCCTTTCCTTTCCTTTCCTTTCCTTTCCTTTCCTTTCCTTTCC